AGCCTCACAGCGCGAGCGGCCGTTCGCAGGCTGAGGCACGAAGGAGCTGCTCGCCGAGCTCAGGGAGAGGTTGGAGGCACAGATAAAGGTCTCTGGAGAGATTGGAGACGGGGCGGTTCCGGAGGGGGACGCTGAGGCAGGCGGGCTCTGGCCGGAGAGCAGGGACGCCCGGAAGGGGCGGGGCCCGCGGTGGGGGCGGGCGGGGCTTTTGGAGATCGGGAGCCGGGCCTGGAGACAAGGCCCGGGTTGGGAGCAGCTAGGGGCAGGGTTTATGGGGTGGGCGTGACCATGAGGTCGGACTTGGGGCGGGGCCTAAAGGGACCCCGGGCAGAGCTGGAGAAGGGAAGGGCTTGGGGGGCTTGGGCCTGGCCTGCGGGAGCCTCATCTAGCGGGGTTCCGACGCGGCGGCGGCAGCATCAGACCAGGCCCTGCCCCCCGATCTCATTCCGATCCCTTTCTCCCCTGTCGTCCCCCAGCTCTAGACTCCAGGCCCTGTCCCCTGAGCTCTGCCCTCGTATGTCCACCGTCCACAGCCTGCATGCGCCGTGGGGCGCCCCAGGACCAGGAGCTGGTGGGCCCGGGGGCTCCTGGGCGGGGGTCCCGGGGCGCCCCTCCTCCCTCGGGACTTGTCCCGGTCCTCGTCTTTCCCCCGGACCTAGTATTCAGGGCGGACCAGCGGAGCGGACCCCGGCAGCTGCTGACCCTCTATAACCCCACGGGAGCTGCGCTTCGCTTCCGAGGTGAAGGGATGGGTGCCTCATGCCAGGGATCTGGGTCTGGCGGCAGGACACCGCGGGGCTGTGTGGGCTGGAGGAGTGAGATGAGTGGGGTCAGATAGCCAACCTTGGCGGACTGGAAGAGTCATGTCCAGCCCTGGGGTAGAAGGGAAGGGGGACTCTAATGTCCCTCCACCGGCAAACTTGTCTCTGAAGCAATAGTCGGGTCTGTGTGTGCCTTTACCCCTCAGTCCTGTGCACAGCACCTGCAAAATACACGGTGTTTGACGCAGAAGGATATGTGAAACCTCAATCCTGCATTGACATGTGAGTGAGGAGGGTGGAGGGGACTCCGGGAAGCCAGGGGTCGCTGCCACCTTTGTCTGAATTACCGTGCCCGTGTCAACAGGGCTCAGACCTGGTTCTTGGCAACCTTTTTCCCCACCTCTGTCTACATCCCTAAGGGAAAGGCTCCTGGGAGGCGGGGCCTGGATCCACTTGGATCACTGCCTGTTACTCACCTCCTCTCAATGGGTCTCTCTCCCCTATTTTGGGACCAGTGTGATTCGCCACGTGGCCCCCATTCCCAGCCACTATGACGTCCAGGACCGCTTCCGCATTGAGCTGTCTGAGGAGGGAGCTGAGGGTCGAGTGGTGGGGCGCAAGGACATCACCTCGGTTCTGAGGGCCCCAGCCTACCCCCTTGAGCTTCAGGGACAGCCTGACCCAACACCCCACCCAGGGCCTCCTTCCTGGACAGCACCACCCACGGCCAGACACTTCCCAGAGAGTGAGTTGGGGGATGGGGATTCTTGAGTTATTGAGCATTACTCTAGAGATGTGCTCAGTTGGAGATGAAGGGGTCTTCTGGTTCTGTCTTTTGCTTTTTGGTAGAAGCATTCCTAGGAGTTCAGATTTTATATCAGGTTAGGCAAAAAAGCAGACTTTGTAGTTTCCCTGGTTTCTGGCTTCTGCCTAGGGGGAAAAGTTCTTCCTTAGCTCTAACTTCAGTACTTTCCATCATGTACCAGCTCAGCTCAGTTCCATAAGAAACCCATACCAAGTTGTGGGCTGCATATGGGAGAGAGAGTCCCTTGCCCGATGGACATGTACATAGGAGCCAATACTGAAGGCAGGGTGAAGAGAAAAAAGTGCTGAGGGACCGGAGGGGGAAGGGTCTCTCGTGGTCGTGGGGACAGAGGCTCCAGGGAGGAGGGGACACTTGCAGTATGCCCCCTGGAGGGCAATAAAAATATACCTCCCATCTTCAGCTTCCTCCCTGGAGGACCCTGGGCTGGGCAGGAGGAGGGTGGAGCTCCTGATGAGCCTTGTTTCCCAGACCACCCCCCACAACTGGCCACCAGCTCCTTCCTCCTCTTCTTGCTGACGGGCATAGTCTCTGTGGTCTTCCTGCTGCTCCCACTCCAGGACGAGCTTGGCAGCCAGCTGCCCCAAATCCTGCACGTCTCCCTGGGACAGAAGTTGGTGGCAGCGTACATCTTGGGTGAGCACAGTAGTGGCCAGGGGCGTGGGGGCCTAGGAGGAAGGCTAGCAGAGCCGCAGCGCTGCTCACCACCAGCTTGCTGTCCTCTCTCCCTTCTCCAGGACTCCTCACCATGGTGTTCCTTCGGACCTGAGCTCCCTGCTCAACCTCCCCCCACCTCCTGGGGCAGGGACTTGGACGTGCACACGAGACAGCCACTCTGATGCTCATGCCTCACCTCAGTTCCTCCTCCTCTTCCTCCTGCCCAGCCGCCCTCCCCCAGGCACCCAGGGATTTGTATTCATTTTCCAAATTGAATAAAATAAATTTTTAAAATTAAACTGAGAAATGGAGGGAGCAGCCCCTTTCTTCCCACTTCTTTCCTCCAGTTCCTCCTCCCAGCCGCAGGGGACCCAGGAATGGGGGGGCAGTCAAGGGGCCCAGTGAGGATACAGAAGACCTGGGTTCTGGTCCTGGTGCCACACCAGGAAAACTGTGTGACCTTGAGCAAGTCACTGAATTTCTCTGAGGTTCTAGTTCCACCTCTAAAATGAGGGAATTGGGCAAGCAGATTTTTAAGGGCCCCTTTAGCCCCCTACATAGGGTCCTACCCCTAAACTGATGTACTTAAACCACAGAGAAACAAAAAAATCCTGCCTGATCCCGCCTACTGCAGACATCCAGTCTCATAGTCTTGAGCCATCAGAGCCTCTTGCCAGGGTTACCTAGATGCTTCCAATACCCAGAATCCTTTTCTGCTTTTTGGCCCTTTATCTGCCTTATTTTGTCTCTCCCTTTAAGACTTCAGCTCGGGCGCCTGGGTGGCTCAGTTGTTTGGGCGGACTGCCTTCGGCTCAGGTCATGATCCTGGAGTCCAGGGATCGAGTCCCGCATCGGGCTCCCTGCTCGGCAGGGAGTCTGCTTCTCCCTCTGACCCTCCCCCCTCTCATGCTCTCTCTCTCTCATTCTCTTTCTCAAATACATAAATAAAATCTTTAAAAAAAGAAAAAAGACTTCAGCTCCAGTGCATCAGAAACACCAAGGTCCCCTGCCAAGATTGGGGGAAATGGCATTGCCTGACATTAGCTCAACTTAACCAGGCAGGAGAAACTAAGGCACAGGAAAAGGAGAGGATCCTCGAAAGGTATGTGTCCAGCCCTTTTTCAGATGCAGGGCAAGGGAGAAGAAAGGAAGGGGGCAGCCAGTGACACTGGCAGGTTGTTGACTGGGGACAAAAATCAGCAAGATAAGACTCAGTCTGTTCTCTGCTTCTGCTGTCATATCTCCATTATCCACCTCTGCTCCTTTTGCCTCCTTTTGAAAGGACCCTAGTGATTACACGTCCCCCTTCCCGCAGTCCAGGATAATCTCCCTATTAGTTTGGTAGGGCTGCACAGAAGGGGGGGAGGCTTAAATGGCCAAAATTAATTTTCTCACAGTTCTAGAAGCTAGATGTTCAAGATTAAGGTGTCAACAGATTGGATTTCCCCTGAAGCCTCTGTGGCTGCCCTGTGCATACACATCCCTGGTGTCTCTCTCTGTCCTTTTTTTTTTTTTTTTTTTAAGATTTTATTTATTTACTTGAGAGAGAGAGCACAAGCAGGGGGAGTGGCAGAGAGAGGGAGAGGGAGAAGCAGGCCCCCCACCGAGCAGGGAGCCTGATGTGGGGCTCAAACCCAGGACCCTGAGATCATAAGCTGAAGGCAGACGCTCAACTGACTGAGCCACCCAGGTGCCCCCATTTACTTACTTCTTTTATTACTATTTTTTAAAGATTTTATTTATTTGACAGAGAGAGACATAGTGAGAGCAGGAACACAAGCAGGGGGAGTGGGAGAGGGAGACGCGGGCTTCCCGCGGAGCAAGGAGCCCGATGTGGGGCTCGATCCCAGGACCCTGGGACCATGACCTGAGCCGAAGGCAGACGCTTAACCAACTGAGCCACCCAGGTGCCCCTATTTATTTATTTTTTAAGTAGGCGCCACACCCAGTGCAGAGCCCAGTGTAGGGCTCGAACTCAGGATCCTGAGATCAAGACCTGAGCTGAGGTCAAGAGTCCGACATCTAACTGACTGAGCCAGCCAGACACCCTTGTGTCGAATTTTCTTAGAAGGACACTGATCAGATTGGATTAGGCTCACCCTACTGGCCTCATCTGAACTTAAGGCCCGATCTCCAGATACAGACTCTGAGGTACTGACGGTCAGGCTTCAACAGATGGATTTGGGGGGGGGGGGCGGTATATTTCAGCTCAAAACACTCCCCATCTCAAGATCCTCAATTTAATCACATCCAAAATGTCCTTTTTGTTGTGTAAGGTAACATTCACTCACAGGTTTCGGGGATTAGGGCGTGAACATCTTTTTCCAGACCATTATTCTGGGTGCTACAAGGAGCAAATGGACAAAGTGAAGGGCTGAGAAACCAATTTGGGAAACCACTTTGGGAAATGTGTTCTGAACAGTATGTCAGAGAAGCAAATAGTTGAGGAGGTTTCTGACCCTGGTCCGGGCTCCTGAGAACCCAGTCAGGCTCAGAGGGGCCTCAAGGAGGGGGCAGGGCGAGAGGCAGAGTTTCATCCTGGAACCAGGGTAGGACCTGTCATGCCATATTGGGAGCAAAAGAGGACCCAGTACCCCAAAGCCCAGCCCTAGGATTTATGCAGTGGCCCTGGGAGTGACAGTGAGGAGGCCGCAGCCCCCTCAGATGTGGAGAGACAGCATTCCTACTTGTATCTTCTCTGGCCCTTCTGCCCCTCTTAAGGGAGGGATGACTGAGGGTAAGGAAGAAGCATAAAGGTGTTTATAAACAACAGATGCCACCAGGTGGTTTATTGAGGTCCAAACCCCAGCCCCTCCCGCCACAGACCACCTGTTGGGGCTATAGGCTATGGTTCCAGCCATTCTCCCACCAAGGGGGCTGGCCACGTCCCAGGGCCTAGGAAACCTTCCAGAGGCATCACTAGGTGTGGGGCACCCCTTTCCCGAAGGGTAAGGGGCTGTGTGATGAGGAAGCGGGTGCTCTCAGATTGGCTGACAGTATGGCCGGCCCACTGTGGAAGACACCGCTCACCTACACCTACACTGCAGGGCCCGGGTGTGGATGTCTGCGCTGGCTTCTTGGCTGGGCCCCTTGCAGAGATGGGAAGGGCTAATGAGAGATCGGTCAGCAACGACAGGTTGGTACTAGGCACCTCCATCACCCAGAAATCACTCTAACGGGAGAACAGGAGCTCCGGGCATATGCCAACACCCGCCCCCCCCCGCCCCGCCCCGCGGACCTCAGAAGTTGTTATCGATGTTCCAGACATCCCCGCTAAGTGCGTTGGCGGCCCCCTGCAGCGTCCAGGTGAGAAGGGCCAGCTGGCGTCGGAAGCGGCCCTCCTGGAAGCCCAGGCCGGGAGCCACCCGGGAGGCGGCGGCCCCTGGGTCTCCCGAGCCGCCCGAGCGCAGCAGCCGCACGTGGTCGAGCAGCGCGCCCAGCGTGTGGTCTCCGCGGCCCAGGAAAATGTGGCGGAACGGGGAGTCGGCCGGCGACACGTACTGGGACAGGAAGTAGAACTCCACCTGCGCCAAAAAGGGGATCAGGTCGGGGTGGGGGGCTCCGCCGGGAGCGCGGGCCGGAACTGCAATTCCTTACCTGGTCCTCGCCTAGCGTCCATTGCAGAGCAGCTGCCTTAAGCCCCACCTCCCTTCGGCTACCCAATCGGGAGCCGCCGTTCTTTGACGTCATCAGCAGCTGGGTAGGATGCGTCCTCCTGCTGTGTTTTGGGTTCCATCCCGTTCTTTCTAAGCTTTGAGCCTCCAAGCCTGCAACCACGTCTCCCCAGTCTTCCCTCTTCACCTAGTCACTTACCCGGCTGAAGCCTCAAAGAACAGTCTATGGTCCTGCTGTTCCTCACTCTCCTACACCCCCACGCACTCCCCCTCACCACCACCAATGTCCACAGCCCGGAGTCAAAGGTCAAAGGGACCGGCCAGTCCTAATGAAGGGCCTGACTCTCTGTCCTCCCTGCATAACTCAGATGCTGTTCATCTTTCCTGAGATGGCAACTCTACTAGCCCGATTCTCCCACCTTTCTTCCACCCTCTCTGGTTCCTTCTGCTCCCACCTTTGGGCAGGCCCAAGGCTCGACCTCCACCCTCTGTTCTCCTCACCTACACTCCAGTTGTTTTCAAGCCTGGCTGCGTATTAGAATCACTTCGGGAACTTTTTAATGACCGTTGTGTGGGGGTGCCTCCCCGGCAACATTGGAATCTCTAGGCTCGTATCTTTTCAAGTCCTCCATCTTTCACTCCAAAGGCTCATCCATGTCCCTGGCTGCAGTCAGGACCTCGTGGGGATGACGGCCAAGCCTACTTGACAAATCATCCACTGGAATCTTGCTCTCCACCCTTCCGGACCTCCCCACTGGGTAAGAGGGCATCTTACCAGCCTCACACACAGCCCTTGGTAAATGGCAGCTGCTATGGTTTTCCTCCTCCTCTTCCCTCAATTGACCCCGTCTGTCCATTTTCCTTCCAAATGTCTCACTTCATTCCAGTCCCCTCATCCACAGGTGGCCTCTGCCACTCTCCTCCAGAGCTCGGTCTTCGCTAACTTCAATTCCCTCTTCACCATTTACACTCTGGCCAAATCCTTCCTAAAACTCCACTTCGCCCACACCACCTCCCTGCTCAAACGCCTTCCTAATTTCCTTGATGCCCAGACCCTAAAAATCCAAACTTCTCATCCTGGCATTCAGGGCTCCCCATAGGTGATCTCTAGCCCACTGTTTGGTGCCCCTCTCCCCTCTGCTTCTCCCCAGGCTTCTGCTCTGGCTCTGCGGGTCCACACCCTACTCCCAAGGACAGCCACGCCTACTTCCCACCACACCCTTACTCTGGGTCTCTCCACTCTGAAATGTCTTTTCTTTGCACCAGCCCAAGTTCTGTCCATTCTTCAAGACCAACATCATGGTCTAAAGCTGGGGTTAGCAAACTTTTTCTGCAAAAAGCCAGGTAGTAAATATTTTTGTCTTTGTTTCTGTTGCAAACACAACTTGGTCGCCATAGCTGGCCCAAAAGCAGCCATAGACAATATGAAAATCAATGAGCATGGCTGTGTTTCCATAAAACTTCATTCGCAGAAACAGGCAGCAGGCCAAGTTTGGCCCACTGGCTATCGTTTACCAACCCCTGGTCTAGAGCCACAAAGTTCCCTGGGTCTGGCCCAGCTCTGTGCTGCTGGTTCTGAAGTCTGGATTCTTTTACTCTCCAGCCCTGAGTCTGAATCATGCCCCTTACGCACAGATGCCCTTTATTCCCTGGGGGTGGTGGGGGGAGGCATGTGGCAACTTAGGGGGTTGGGTGAGGGGAGTACATTTTTGTGTTCCTGGAGTCTGGGACAGCAGGGCTTAAAGCAAGATCTGTGAATGAGAATGAACCAGGCCCAACCTCTTGTCTCACCTGCAGGATCACCGGTGTCTCAGTGGAGGGGGCAAAGGGAGGGAGAGATGGAGAGGTCAGGAAGTGGGGGAGGAAGAGGGAACTGCAGAGAGAGGAGAATGAGGGGGATCAGGAGAAAGGAGCAAGGATGAAAGAGCAAGGGGGGGGGTTGTGAACAGAAAGTAGGAATGAGCGATGCCAAGGGAAACAGGCAGGGACTCAAGGAGGAAAAAAAAGGGGGCAGACATGTTCCAAAACCATGCTCGTGCATACACTATGGGTTCCCTGTCCAGCCTACACTCACAGAGGATGGTCCTGTTTCTAATTTCGCCCTGTAGACTTATCCCCACACCCACAGTCCCTACTTAGCCCATTCCCCAAAATCAGTGGCCAGGTTGAGTCCTTGGAGGAAAGAATTGGAAGGAAGTGGAGGGCTTGGAACAGGAGATGGAATGTGGGTTGCAAAGTATTCAAAACTAAGCAGGAGGAAAAAAAAAAAAACTAAGCAGGAGGAATGGGCCAAGGACTAAGGTCTTGTATACAACTTTACATGACACCTCCCCCAGGCAGCTTCTCTGGGTTTCAACCACCTTATTACAAGGAAGAGAGCTCTCCTTACTCTGAATTTCTTAAGCCTTTGCCCCTCCTGGGCCATAAGCTTGGGCCTCTTGTACTGTGGACAATCGTGTACAAGCTTTTCCCCTCCAGAAGGGTGAGGAGGCAGTGGAGGGCTCTGTGTGTGTGTGTGGGGGGGGGGTCCCAGTTCTGCCACGTGGTCTGCCAGGCGGTCGGCCCAGTGGCCGGCCCTCCCTGTCAGTTTTATCACTTTGCGGGGCCTGTCTCAGTGGTCGCTCCAGCCTGGCCGGTGTGTGCGCGCTGAGTCCAGGACAGGGAGCCGGAGGGCAGGGGCGAAGTAAAGGCGGAGACAGGGGACAGCGCCCGGGACAGGCCTGGCGGCTCCAGCCACCGGAGGACGCGGGTTAGGGGGCGGGGCCTCACCCGCATGATGCGCACGTTGTACATGCGCATCAGCCGCTCGTCGCTCTCCTCCGAGCTGTAGATCTCCTTTCGCAGCTTCTCCGCCGCCCGGATATAGTCCCCCCGCGCCGAGTACACCCACTGGAGGGTCAGCCCGCGGGCCTGGGGGTGGAGATGCAGGCTGGGGCCGGTCACAGGGGCCAGGACCCCGGCCGAGGCTGGGAGCCCAGGGCTGGCAGGAGGAGGGGCTATAGGGGGACGGGATGCTGGGAGAGGGAAGAAGACCTGGACGTTTGGGAGGGTACCAGCTGGGTCCTAAGGCAGGAGTCAAGGGGCCAGGTTGCCAGAGGGGACTAGACCCTAAGGACTGTGGGGAGGAGGGGCCAGACCTCTGGACTGGGCGACACTTTGAGGGGATATAGCGCCCCCCACCCCCAGGAGCCAGGAGCAGGGTTGGTATCTTGGACCTTCAGGTCCCCAGAGAACTCGTTGAGGCTGCCGATGTGCCTGAGGACCACGTCCCCGTAGCGGCCGAAGTCCAGAGGCAGCAGGTGATCGTGGCTGAGCCGGATGAGGATCTGCCCAGCAAGCTGGGCCACAGCCTGGGCCACGGCGGGCAGGCGGCCCCGCAGCACCCTGTGTAGGTTCTCGTATGTGTCGTCCTTCGTGTGCAGGAACGGGTACGCCTGGCCATCCTGCCGGGACAGGGCGCAGGCTGGCGCAGGGGCGCGGTGCAGACAGGCGGAGGGGCTGCTGCTCTGGGGCAGGGCCAGGAAGTCTCACCTCCAAGAAGGAGAACTCAACGGCAGGGACCCCCGCAAAGGCCGTGAAGGAATAGGCACTGCTGTCCATGGGCAGTGGCCGGATCCTGGGAGTGGGCAGGTGGGAGGGCTCTGTGGGTTCGGCTCCCCCCCACAGCTGTCCTCCCTCCCTCCCTCCTGGCCCCAACTTACACTTCAGCATCCCAGCTGTGATTGTTGAACACCACCTGCTCATAGAGGGTCTGCCCACTGCGGTTAGGAGAGTCCACCTGGGGGACAGGGTAGGGGGCACCGGTCAGGCTCTGGCCGCCACCAGCTTCCCTTCATCCCCTGCCCCTGGCCAGCCTCTTGCCTGCTTCAGGATGTTCTCTATGAGGCTGATTAGAAGGGGGCTGGTCTTGGCATGGAACTTGTCGTCTCCTGCAGAGGGGGAGGAGAAGGGATGCCAGACTCAAAGCTGGGCCCCGCGGCCAGGGTGCACCAGAGGGGCCCCAGCAGGTGGCACCACCCGCACTCACCCAGCACTGCATTGTCCAGGCTCACATAGACCACGGCTTTGAGGTGCAGCACGCTGAGGTAGCCCTGTAGGTGAGAGATGTGGAGTTTAAAACCCCCCACCTCTTCCCACTGCCTGACTCCCTGCCCTGGACCCCACATTACCTCCAGCCACTCTGTGGAGCCCACACTCCCAAAGTCACCTCCGTCCCAGCTGATGAAGAGAAGACTCCTTCGGGGCTGGAAGCCTGGAAGCAGAGAGGGTCAGGAGGATGGGCTCCTCTGGAGGCCAAGCAAAGACCCATCTTTGTCTTCTGTCCTGCGGCCCTGGGCTCTCTCCATCCTTCCCACCAAGCCCCCGGCCCGGCCCAGCTCACCCGGTCTGCCCTGACTCCACTATCACAGTGATGGAGCTTGCTTTCACATGGAGTCTCCTGCTTAATGCTGCACTCAGACCAAGGACTTATTACTACAGCTGACCCTTGAACGTGGGTTTGAACTGCTGGGGTCCACTTACATGCAGATTTTCAACTGAGCAGAGAAGCTGGCGCCCCTAACCCTGGCGCTGCTCAAGGGCCAACTCTACTCTCATATTTGGATGAGGAAGCAGAGGTAAAGCGACTTGCCCGGGGCCGTGCAGCTGGGACACGAGGAAGCCGGGTCTGGAGCCCAGGTCTGCGTGGCCGCCCGCTAGCCTGCGCTCTTGACCGCCTCTGTGCCCTGTGCTGGCTCGGGCCACAGCCCCAGCTGCCCAGCCCAGGCCCTGACCTTACCATTGCTCACCATGGAGGAAAAGGTCCGCACCAGCTCCAGCAATATGGCCGTCCCCACAGCGGACTTGGCCGCTCCTGGGCCCCACGCATCCCTCTGCGCCCCGATGACAACATAGTGATCTGCGGGAGGGGAGGTTCTTGGGGTCCATGTTCTTACACTGGCAGTACCTAGAGACCACCTGGGAGGCTGCGTGCTCCCGGGGCCTCACCTCCATTTCCCAGCCCCGCCCCCACCACTCTCCACCTTCCAGCCCCTCACATCTCTGCAGCCCCAGCCCTGCGATCCTTGCTGTCCTGCAGGAGGGTGCCCCTCTTCCCCTCGGCCCTGCCTGGATGGCCTGCTCCTTCAGCGGGGTGCCTGGCCTCATGCTGGATTCCATCACCTCCCTGGTCAGCCATGTCCCGCACAAGTCCTGACAGGTTTTCCTCCTTCATGCTTCTCTCTAATCCACCCCACCCCTTCTCCAGCATTCTCCTCTGAGCTGCATCATGGGCCCCCCCGTGTCTCTCCCTCAGTGCTTCTAGGTACCACACTCTTCGGCTCAAGAACCCACTTTGATTGCCCACTGCTATCCGTGTCTAGTTAGGCTTGAAAGGTTCATCTATCTCATCAGAACTCCCATTCATGCTGTATCACCCAACTCATGCTTGCTCACCTCCAGTGCTAGGGAACTCACTACTGTGCCAAACTACCCATCCTGTCTCTGGACAGATTTGACCATGGGATCTACTCACTGCCATCCCCCCTCAGTCCCAGATCAGCCTCAGCTTGCCAGCCTCCCTCCCTGGCTCAGCCCTGCCACCCCCTCCACTGGGCACCATTCTTGCCCACTCCCCCGGGCCTCCTGCTCCAGCCCCATCTCTAGCCAGGGTTCATGAGTGGCGGCTCCCCTCCTGCCGGCTGCGGGTGACGCTGGGCAAGCTGGCACACCTGGCTCTGAGCGGCCCTCGATGCAGCCAAAGATGTTGCTGATGGGGGTGGAGACCCTGTGGTTGTTGACCCCAAGGTGCAAGCCTGGCCCAGGGCCCAGGCGATAAGGGGAGCCTGGGAGGCGCCCCTGCCATTCCTGGGGAGCCACAGGGCCTTGGAGCTTCCTGGAGAGAGGTGGGGCAGAAAGGGTCAGAAGTGGCAGAGAGGCCCAGGCTATAAAAGAGCCCAGAGATCCCTCTTTGCTCTTTCCCTCCCACCTTCTGGCTCCAGGTCTACTTCTGCACTCTGCCTGCTGCCTTGGACAGTTGTGCAGGTTGTGTCCTGCTCAAAGTGAGGCTGGGCCCATTCAGAAGATCCGTCTTTTCCTAGTTCACCCAAAAGCACTTTACAGGCTAGCTACATCTCCCTTCCTCCTCCCCTCCTGGCCCCCATAGGCCCCTCACCTCAGCAGGAGGGAGGCAATGTCCGCACTGATAGGCTGGGCGGGGATGTTAGGGAGGCCGGAGGACTGGACTGGAGGGAACTGGGTTTGATTAAAGGAAGGGAAGCCAGGCGTGTAGGGGTCCCCAGTTCCCAGGTGCACCTGTGAGGAAAGGGGTGTCCACACCGAAGCTGTGAGCTGGGCTCCGAAGACTAGCTTACCGGCCCCATCCCAGACAAGGAGGTCCAATTCTGGGGACCCCAAGAATCCACTGCTGGCTGCTCCCAGACTCACATGTCCGTACACAGCTCTGTGGCTGGACAGGCCAAGCTTGTGTGGATCCTGGGAGAAGTCGGCTGGATCGGGGTATATGAGCACTCCTCGGGCCCCAAAGTCCTGGGCACTGGCCACCTGGGGAAGGGAAGTGGCTAACAGACTCCTTTTCCCAGAGAAAACTGATTTGTAAGGGCAGGAGAAGCAAGGAAAAGTGAAGTCGCACTTACTTCCACTCCGCTTTCATGGAGTCACAGCAAGGCTGTGGGCACCACCGGACCCCCATCTTCCCGCCTTCCCCCAGTGCCTTGGCATCCCTCAAACCCCACTGTCCTCTGCATTCCTCCGTGTTCGTCCCCCATCCCAACCTCCCGATTTTGTTTCCCGCCAGCATTTTCTCACGACCCACTTGGTTCTTTCTCTTCTCTCTCCGACAGCCTCCTAGACGCTTCCCATCTGCCGCTATCCTATCTTCGCATTCCCCGGCCCCGCACCCTCCCGGTTCCACGCCACCCCCCCATCCAGGGACCCTCACCTTTTGGGCGAAGCTGATCTCCCCCAAGCGCACCAGCAGGAGGCGCCCCGCCGGCTCCACGCCCCGGGCCCGCAGGTCCTGCAGGTCCTCCGGCCGCCCGTAGTGGGCGTACACCAGCTCTCCCTGGGGATGGAGAGACCGGTGAGGCGTGCCCTCCGGGTCCCTCCTCCGCCACCCGGGAAAGGGCGCTCGCTGCCCCCGTCCTGGGGGCGGGACAGGGGGCTCTCACCGTGGCGTTGCCCGTGGCGCTGTAGGGACAGTAGACGTCGTGGTCCTCCAGCGGCAGGGGTTCCCCGAGCTTCCCAGCCTCACCGACCCAGTGCAGGGTATTGGGATGAGCCCTGAGGAACAGAGGTGGTGAGCGCCCCCCCCGCGCGCCCCCCGCGCGCCCCTAGCGCGCCCCCCGCGCACTCACGGGTCCGGAAACTGCAGCCCCACGTAGTGCGTGTCCATCCACACGTGGTCCAGCTTTTGGCTCGAGAGCGCCCCCCGGACGTCCTGAGCCAGAGCGGCCATCCCGGCTGAGCCGGCCATCCTTTTCCGAAGGCTGGTTTGCCTGAACGGGAAGAGGTGGGATTGGGGCGCGGAAGGCGAGAGGGACTTCTGGGCGCCTGGAGGAGAGGGAGGGGTCGCCCTGGGCCCTGGACGGTGAGGGGCTCCTAAGTCTCTCCCTGACCCCTGCCATCACCATCCATCCAGTCACCACCCGGGCTGTCACTAAGGCCGCCGCCTCCTGCTTAAAGCCTTAGTTTCCGATAGCGCGGTATCCTGCCCACCATCCCTTAGGTTTTTCCTGGTCCAGGCCCAACTCACCAATCTATCTACTGCCTGCGCACACATACACACACACACACGCACCCAGGCCTGTGCTCTGCACACACATACACACACACACACACACACACGCACCCAGGCCTGTGCTCTGCCCCACGCATGGAAGCGCTTTTCTTCCAAAGGACTAAGTGGGCAGAGGCGGCCCTCCATCTGCCCCGTCCTGCAGCTGCGCCTCACGGAGACATCTTACACTATGGTTACTGATATGATCGCGGGGTCCCTTGTCTTGGAGACCTCACCCTGTCTTCTTCCATAGTCACCACCTGAGACTTTTGTCCCCTGAGCTCCCCCTGTTCTTCCATCTCACCCCGTCACAGGCTGCACCCACATGGCCTCCCTGCCAAAGGGCTTCACTTGTGCCCTCTCCAAGGCAGACTCCTCCCTCCTCCACATCCTCATTGAATACCCCTCCACCTTTTGCCTTGGCGGAAACCCAAGATGTCCCTTGAGAGGCCAGGTCTCCTATGGGGCTCTCGAGCTCAGGAGAGAACTCAGGTTCTCATACTACCTGGGCTTGGAGCGGGGGAAGGCTCCCGGCTCCACTGTTGGAATTCCTGCCCATTTCTCCTCCGGTAAACCTCGCTTCCGTTGAAGCCTGTGCCATCCAGCTCCCCCCTCCTCTGCCCCTTTTCCAGCCAGTTGGTCACTTGTCTGCTGTCATCAAGGACTTTGGTATCTGGTTTAGCATTTTCCTCCCCACACCATGGTCCCCTCACTGTGTCACCACTTCAAAATCCAAGTGCAGGGTGCGCCTTAGTCTCAGCCCCCACCCCTCCGCTCTCAGGAAGACCCCTGCACCCCAGGACCCCATGGTCGCTGTGGCTTTCTCAGTACCGTTCCTGTGGCCCTCTCCTGTCCCGATCCAGGAGAGTGAGCATTTGTTTGAAACTGCACCTGTCCGGGCGCCTGGGTGGCTCAGTCCGTGAAGCTGCTGCCTTTGGCTCAGGTCATGATCCTGGGGTCCTGGGGTCCTGGGATTGAGCCCCTCCTCGAGCTTCCTGCTCAGTGGGGAGTCTGCTTTTCCCTCTCCCTCTGCCCATGCCCATGCTCATGCTCTCCCTCTCTCTCTCAAATAAATAAATAAAATCTTTAAAAATAAATTAATAAATAAAATCTGAAAAAAAAAAAGAAACTGCATGTGTCAGTGTGTTCGTAAAATGGATGATGCACACTGTGGATTCCTGTGCCTGACAATACATTTTTTTTTAAGATTTTATTTATTTATTTGACAGAGAGAGACACAGGGAGAGAGGGAACACAAGCAGGGGGAGTGGGAGAGGGAGAGGCAGGCTTCCCGCGGAGCAGGGAGCCCGATGCGGGGCTCGATCCCAGGACCCTGGGACCATGACCTGAGCCGAAGGCAGACGTTTAACTGACTGAGCCACCCAGGCGCCCCCTGACAATACATTTGATGTGCTTCCGGGGGAGGGGATGGGAAAGAGTGCTCAGGGCTAGGGAGGGAAATTAAATAAAAAAGCCCTTCACTGGGGCGCCTGGCTGGCTCAGTCAGTGGAGCATGTGACTCCTGATCTCAGGGTTGTAAGTTTGAGCCTCACTTTGGGTGTAGAGATAACTTGAAAATAAAATCTTTAAAAAACAAAACCAGGGCGCCTGGGTGGCTCAGTTGGTTCAGCGACTGCCTTCGGCTCAGGTCATGATCCCGGAGTCCCGGGATCGAGTCCCACATCGGGCTCCCTGCTCAGCGGGGAGTCTGCTTCTCCCTCTGACCTTCCCCCCTCTCATGCTCTCTCTCTCAAATAAATAAATAAATAAATAAATAAATAAATAAAATCTTTAAAAAAATAAAAATAAAAAAAATAAAAATAAAAAAATAAAAAACAAAACCAAACCAAAAAAAAGCCCTTCAACTGAGACACTGAACTACCGCGTCAGGAGTATCATAAACTCTGTTCTTTGCACCAACCTTAAAAAACAAAACAAAACCCTCCCCCTACATCTGATCATGATTCTCTATTGTTTTAAATTCTTCATTTCTCTCTTCCCTCTTAGAATAAAATCCAAAGCAGTTTGTGTAGCCATTAAGGCCTTTTATGGCCTCGGCCGTATCCACGTTGACACTACAGCTCCCCGGGGTCATGGCTCAAAATCCAAGCTCCATCATGTGGCATTCAAGACTTCTCTGGGTCTGTTCCACTGCCTATCTGGATACTGGACCCCTCTGCTCTCCTTCAGACAACCACATGGACCTGCCTCTCTTCCTCCAATAGGCCACCATTTCCCACCCCAGACCATTTGCCCTTGCTGTTCTCTGACCTGAAATGCTTTTCCACCTTCTCTTTGCCTGTGAACGACTCACCCCTCAGCCTTCAGTTCATCACTTCATCAAGGAAGCCTTCCCTGGCCCCCAATCTAAGTCAGGTCCCCCTGGTTATACTCATTCCCCACATCTTTTACTTTTCCTTCAAAAGTGTTCCTAGTAATAAATATGTGTCGTGAATGTGATTATTAGTTCAATATTGATTCTCCCCATAGACTGTAAGCTCTATAAGGACAAGGCCCAGACTTTTGTTCTCTGCCCTATCGCCCCCACCTACCTAGCCAAGCACCTGCCACATAGTAGGTGCTCAAAGGTATTTGGTGGATAAATGAATGAATGACCTCATCAGTGTCGCTGAGTCCAGCTGCTCACTTCCCTCACCACACCCCCACTGGTCTTGGCGTTACCCAGAATTCCATCTCCGGAATCTTTATCCACTGGGGATTTATTGAACACCAACTAAATGCCAGGCACTGTGCTAGGTGCTGGACACATCCAGATAAAGAGGACACAGCTGATCAGATAAATCTTAAAAGTTCCAATATCTCACTCTCTGACTAGATCTTTCCAGGTTCCAGCTTGCTTCCTGACCCCCCCTACGCCTGCTCTTCAACCACGCTGAGTGCTCCTGACAGTTCCATTCCTTCCTTCTGCATCCGCCCTGGAGTCGTGCATCACTTCACTGCTCACTGGCCCCACCATCACCCTCTTGCCTTCCTGCCCTCTGATGGCACCCCCAGTGCCGCACCTCACCGTGGGACCTGACAAACCGTCCACCTGCTCAGCCTGTGCCCAGATGACCGAGTGTGGCTCAAGAAAATAAGAAGGCCTGCATGTTGTTGATGCCACAGATGTAAGGTCTTTGGGTAAGGTGGACCCAGCAGTGTAGCCAAAGAGTAATAATACGCCTCGATCAAGTTTCGAATCGATCCCACGAAGACAAGAACATCTATCAACACCAATTACTACAGAAACAAAACTAAAAACATACAGACACAAATTAAAGCAGAAAAATCAGGTGACAGGGGCGCCTGGGTGGCTCAGTTGGTTGAGCGGCTGCCTTCGGCTCAGGTCATGATCCTGGAGTCCCGGGATCGAGTCCCGCGTCGGGCTCCCTGCTCAGCAGGGAGTCTGCTTCTCCCTCTGACCCTCTTTACTTCCCTCTCGTGCTCTCTATCTCTCATTCTCTCTCTCTCTCAAATAAATAAATAAAATCTTAAAAAAAAAAAAAACTATCCGGAGTCCATAGCAAAGTTCACACTCAATAACAAAGCTGTATAAAAACATTCCTACGCGGGCGCCTGGGTGGCTCAGTTGGTTAAGCGACTGCCTTCAGCTCAGGTCATGATCCTGGAGTCCCTGGATCGAGTCCCGCATCGGGCTCCCTGCTCAGCAGGGAGTCTGCTTCTCCCTCTGACCCTCCCCCCATCTCATGTGCTTTCTCTCTCATTCTCTCTGTCTCTCAAATAAATAAATAAAATCTTTAAAAAAAAAACACATTCCTACGCAAGTCAGGAGATAGGCCTATCTGCTGTCATCATTACCTTTTACATTTTTTTTTAATTCATGTCCTCTCTAATAATATAAAGCAATGAAAATGACATAAAGGGTCCAAGCACTGAGAAAGAAGCTACGTATCTCTCACTGTCTATAGCTTATGTGACCTTCTACTTAGAAAACCCAGGGGAATCCACTGAAACACTATTCCTGACCCAAGAGAGGGCTACTGGTGGCCCCACCTCTTCTCTGGACCTACCTGGGCAGCTCCTTCCCAATGGGGAAAGTGACTTCAGCAAAACAAGAGGAACCCCGACCCGCTTGTGCTGTGCTCCAGGATCTGGGCCTGCAGGTCTGTGTGTGGCTGGCATCTCTCATAATGCAGATGGAGGGGGGTGGTCTGTGCTCACAAAGGCATTTGCTTGCTTGTTCTTTTTCTGATTTCTTAAAATGTCCCTTCTCAGTGCCCACCCCCCCCACCCCCCCAATCTCACCGCAGTCGCACGTCAAAATCCAAGCTCCGTGATGTGGCATTCAGGACTTTTCTGGATCCATCCCACCTCCTGTCTAGATACTGGACCCCTCTGCTCTCACTCAAGACAGTCAGCTCCCGCATCTCCCAAGTGCCACGTTCAGACCCCAAGCCCTCTGCTGTCTTATCTCTGGTACACCCTCCCTCCCCTCTGGTCCAAATGCCTGACATCCTTCCCAGGACCATCAAACAGGGAGGCCAGGGAGGCAAGTGGAAGGGTCCTGGGAGGAGAGGAAAGGACTCTGAGTCCAAGCGAGTGAACGAGGGTTTTCAAGGGCCGGCAAGGGGGCAGGCTGATCCTTACCTGATGGTGTCCTCCAGGTGCCCCTCCCCCAGGAGCCGCAGGAACATGGCCTGGAGGTCGCTCCAGTACAATGTGCCCTGGTGGGAGTCCGGGCCCGGCTCATAGTTTATGTCTTCACTGACCACCAACACGTCATCCCCACATGCCTGGCAGGACCCTCGGAAGGCCACATAGCCCAGAAGGAAAGCTGAGGGATGGCAAGATGGAGATTCTCCTTGTGCCCCACTCTGGCCTCCATAAATCCCCCCAACCCAGGCCTTCCACTGGTGGGGGTGGGAAGACTCTCACCCCCAGTGAAGATCAGCAGGGCTGTCAGGACCAGGTAAGGGGCAGCCCTTCGTCCTGTTGCTGCCCAGAGTCCGAGGTTTTGCCTCCCTGCTCGAGAGCCCAGGTCAGGGCCCCTCAGCTCCATGGGGCAGAAGTGGGCTGCTGGCTCAGCCCCCTCCTCCCTGTCTTCCTCTTCCTCCTCCAGCCGCCACTGCTGGGTGCCCTCCACACGCTTGTAGATGGTCTGAGAGGGTCGTGGGGACAACCTTTGCTGCGGGGGGCACGGTGGGCATGAGACTGGGGAAAGAGGCATGGGGGATGGGGCAGGATCTGGGCACAACGGTGACTCTGGAGTGCCAAAGGAGCACCAGGCAAGAGAAAGAAAGGGTCCTGAGAGGCAAGCTGGAGGGGAGAGATGGAGGTGGGAAGGGGAGGGGCCAGCCTTGGGGTTTGGGAGGGGGCTGACGGACCCAGAGAGAAGGCCTAAAGTGTCCCCCCAACCCCACTTGGTCTTACCGTTCTCTGAAGTAGACCCCAAAGTCGCTCCATGCTCGTGCCCCCTCCTGAGCCCTGCAGGCTGTTCCCCCCACAGTGATAAACCGTTTGTGGGAGCCCCAGGAGGGCCCCTTATCAGCCCTGGCAGGCAGCCTGAGCCCAGGCCGTTCTTCTCCCCCCGAAAGGGTGGGGGCACAGTCCTGGCCTCAGTCCAGCCTTCCAGATAGGAACCCCCAGCCCAGGCTAGAGGGCGAGGGGCTGTGCCCTCCCCTGCAAATCCCTCTGCAGTCTCACTCCTGTCCCCTCCCTGCAAAACAATCAATTTTTTGACCTTGGGGCAGACTTTGGCCTCCTAGTTCCCGTCATGGGTGGGGGAGGGGGGGCTGACGGCCGGGGAGGGCAAAAGATAAGGATGCCCTCTCCTGCTTCCACCCCTCCCAGTGTCCTCGGGGACCCCTTCCTCAGCTCCGCACCACAAAAACCTCGCCCCCCCTCAAGTCATCCGGCTTGCAGGCCCACCAGTGAGTGCCCAGCCAGGCCTTGTAACACATTAGTTCCTGGTTCTGACACCTGCCCCCAAGCGATCCTAAACTGAAGTTGCCACAGTGGTGTGACCTGGGGGGGGGGGGGGGGGGGGGGGGGGGCGGGTTGGTCTGGCCATGTAGATGCCTGTCTCATTGCAATCAGGATGAAAAGTGGGTCTCAGGCTCCTATTAACTTCTGGGGAGGGAGGGGCATTGGGTGGAAGCATATGGTTAAGCGGGACCAGCGAGTGCTCCATGTTGGGGTTCTCCTGGAGCTGCGGGGTCGAGGCCCACCAGGCATTGACGGAAAGAGCCCTGGTCAAGGCCTGGCCAGAGTCGGATGACCTTCAACAACTCATGGTCTTCTCTGGGCACCTGCGTCTCTTTGGTGACGGGACGACTTGACTTCCACCTCTCTTGGGTCTGGGCACCCCAGGAACACATCACAGGCACAAACGGCTAAGTTTTACTAAGCGGGGGTGCAGGTCCCCAAGCCCTACGGAGGACGCCCAGACGAGTACCTCTGAAAGAGAAGGGCTCAGGGGCCCCATGTCAGGGTCTCCCTTGGGAAACCTCAGCTCCTACCCAAATTGGGAGAGAAACTCGGAGCTGCTGGGGCGCACCAGTGCCCCAGTCCCCGCCCCATTCTTGCCAGTGCCAAGAACCCAAAGAAAGAAGACGCGGCGCAGCCGGGCTCACCTGAGAGCCGTTTCGCTGAGGCTTAGGCACCGCCTCCCACCTGAGGCCCCGCCCACCCCTGCCCGGGGATCGGGTCTCCAGCACCCCCTTCCCGCCCCAACTCCGCTCCTAGCGGGGGGCCTTCTCGCGGGCCTCTGCCGGATCCTCGCTGCGTGATCCTCCCTGGGTCGCCGCCCCTTTGAAACCTGAGGCTTCTGTGGCTCTGCCCCGGCCCGCAGACTTTGCCCCGGCGTCCACCGTGGGATCACCAAGGGACGTAGGTGTGGCCCTTCCCTCGCCTCCCCCCAGGCCCCTGCCCCACTCCCGCCCCCCACCAAGGAGGCCAAACTTTTTTTTCCTTAAAACATTTTTACTCCTTTCAACCCAGAAACATCACAATCTAAGCGGACGAGAGGGGAGGGGGAGAGACGAGGGCATGGGGGTGGGGGCTTCGATCTGCGCTGGCGGAGGCCGAGCCGGGAAACCCTCTCCCCGCCTTTTGGCGTCCCCTACCCCAGCGCGGCGGCCTGGCGTGTGGGTGCTGAGGGGCGCCCTCAGGGGCACTTCCGCTCCACGCACTGCTTCCCTCCCTCCTCATATTCCTGCTTGGAGATCCACATCTGCTGGAAAGTGCCCTGGGGGCGGGGGCACGACAGAGGCCATCAGGAGGGTCCTGGAGGAAGGGGGGTGGTCGCGCCTCCCCACATTCCACCCGTGCAGGCCCAGCCCCTCGGAAAAACCTCCTCCTGCCCTCCGACCCTCGCCCAATCCCTTCCGCAGCGACCTCCCCAAGCCTCCCAGCCCTCCGTCATATTCAGAGGGTGAATACCCCTGCTCCAGTCGTTCAGTCACGACGTTGATTTCATTCATTCAACAAGTATTTATTGCACATCTGTCTGCCCTGGGCCAGGCGCTGGGCTAGAGCTGGGTAGTGGAGCTTACAGCCTCAGGCCAGCCAGCCTGGCCTCCCAACCTCCCTCCCCCAATTCCTCCTGCACCTATCACTCCATCAGACCTTATAAACTTGTCCAGTCTCCCACATTCCCAAGAAGAATCTTTCCTCCACCCTCACCATTCTTGTACCACCTAACTTCTGGATGGGAGTTGTCTTCACTCTGCACGCCACTCCCCACGTTGAACCTTGCCCCTTGAGGGTCTCTTGTGCTGGGCATCTCAGACTTTCCCTTTTCTTTGATGGTTGCTTAATCTCTGCCTGAAAGCTAGTGCCTGTGCCCCTGGTACTGTCCCTGTTTGTCTCCTGGGCTCACAGTTCAAGCCTTCCTGAACCAGCTCATCCACTCCTGGGACTTTTGCTCATGCACTAAAACCCTACTCCTCCCTCAATCTCCCGTTTCTGAAGCTGAATACTAGACCCAAATACTCAGCTGTCTTTTGGACACAGCCTTCGGAGTCCCTCAGGACCGCAAACTCAGCATGTCCACCACTGAGCTCCCCCAGGCCTAGCCCAAAGCTGCTTCGGTGGTCTTTCTTACCTTCTATATTAGCACTGGCCAATATAGTGGTCCTAGAGCACTTGAAGTGTGGCTAGTCGGAACTGAGATGTGCTCTACAGTTAAAAAACACACAACGGATACTGAAGACTAAGTCCAGGAAAGAGAATGTAAAAATCTCATTTTTATATTGATCACACATTGAAATGATAATATTTTGGATATATTGAATTAAATAAAGTGCATTCTTTTTTTTTATGATTTTATTTTTAAGTAGGGGCGTCTGGCTGACTCAATTTTTAAGTAATCTCTACACCCAATATGGGGCTCGAACTCACAACCCCGAGGTCAAGAGTCTCATGCCCTACCAACTGAGCCAGCCAGTCGCCCCAAATGAAGTATATTCTTTAAACTTAATTTCACCTGATTCTTGGGGCTCTTTTAAAATACAGCTACTAGAAAATTTAAAGTTGTATATGTGGCTCGCATTACATTCCTGTTGGACATAGCTGCCAGGAGCTAACATCCTGGGCATTGTCCTGGACTCCTCTCTAACTTCTTGTAGCCAAAAGCTGTCCACATTCTGTCTGTTGGGCCCCTGATGAGCTCCCGGTTCCACAGCCTGATACCCACTCCTCTGTCAAGCCCCAGTCACAGTGGAGACCACGGCAGCCCCGGTCAAGCCACCCTCCACTCTACTGCCCCAGTGAGCTTCCTGACCTCGGGTCCACGTCTGTCCATTGCCTTTGGTCTCGCCTGCCTCTCTCCATGGCCCAGGCACCTTCCCTCCCTCTTTGCCTCAAGAGTTCTTACTCAGTCTTCCATCTCAGCTTGAGTGCTCCTTAGGAGGCCCTTCGTGACCCTTGAACTAGATCAGGTCCTCCCTTGAAGGAACACCCCCCACACTTTGTGGTGACTTCCTGTTTAATGCTCTCAGCCTCTGGACTGGGCCTGCTCCTGGAGCGGGGACTATGTCGGGCATGCAGGTGGCCCCACAGGAACTGGGCGGCTGACAGGTTCCCAGCCCCCAGCTAACTTCACACCGTCAGCTTCCTGCATTTCTGACCCTTGTTTCTGTCTCCTCGGGGGCTGTCCTTCTAGGAGATGACCTTCCTGCTCTGTCATGGCCCCACTGTTCCCTCCGTGTGACCTACACCTGTGAGATAAAGTTTGCATCTCCAGTTCCCTGCTCAGCGTCTTGCCTGTGCCCAGCAGCAGGCCCAGACAGAACTCCAGCTACTGCTCCAGAACGAGCCTGCCTCCTTCTGTATCTGCCTCTTGCCCACCACCCCATCCTCACTGCTGCTCACTCTGGGACTCTGGGACAATGGAAGGAGCCTCCTCCCAAGGTCCCCCCGTGTCCAGCTCACACCCTGATCTCCAAAGACTCGTTCCTGACGTAGGCTTCCCAAACATGCCTGGGACTGTCACATCGCTTCCTCGCCCCAAACCTTCAGTGTCTCCCCTCTGCTAAGCACAGTGGGTGCCTCACCCAACCAATCTCTCCAGCTTCCTGTCCTCCTGCCCCCTGATTTGTCCCGATGGCTTATTCACCCTTCTGGAAGCACTGACTGCTCTTTCTCAAAAATAAATGTTTGTTGAATGAATGAATAAGGAGGCGGCGGGCAAGGGGATGGGGCTGTGTGGGTCTGCCTCTTTCCCACAGTCAGTGCCAGGCCAAGGCCCCTTCCCTCTCACCAGTGAGGCCAAGATGGAGCCCCCGATCCAGGGGCTGAACTTGCGCTCCATGGTGCTGTTGCTGGCGATGAGCTTCAGCCGCATGCTCTGGGGGGAAAGAGGGGCTGGGGGAAGCAGACACCTGGGTTCTGGGAAGGGACAGGGCTGGAAGTGGGGAAGACTGGGAAGCCACAGGGGGAGGGGTCTGCTCTGGTGGCCTGAAGGCTTGCCGTTGGGGAAGGAGGAAGGACTGGGTCCTGAAGAGCTAAGCCAGGACCCTGGTCGGGGTGGGCTCCTACCGGCGGGGTCTTCTGGGAAAGCTCTCGATTGAGCCTGTCCGTGAAGCCCTGGAGCAGCGTGTTCCCGCCCGTGACAATGACACTGCCATACAAGCCCTGACAGCAGAGAGGAGTGTGCCTTCAGGGCACAGCCCCTCCCCATCTCCCCACTGCTCCTGGGCCCCTTTGCCCAGACACAGGCTCGGGCCTCACCGGGCGGATGTCGATGTCACACATGCCGATGCTGGTGGTCACCACATGGCCCACACCAAGCATGGTGTTCCCCGACAGGCCCTGCCGAGAAAGGTGACCTGGGTTGTGGGCCTCTGCCCTCTCTCCCCAGACCCCAGGGATCCTTCCCAGCCCCCCACCCCCACACGCTGGCATCTGGGAAATCCAACCAGCCCCCACCTCGATACCCTCCACGCAGGCCAACCTTGACATTGGAGGGGTCAAACAGGCCCTCAGGAATGCGGAGCCGCTCAGCCCCATAGTCTGTGTTGTAGCCGTTGGGCATTTCGTAGTGCACTGTGGGCATCTGCGCGGCCACCCTGCCCAGGAGAGAGAGAGAGAGACTCTGCCTGGGGGTGCTCACAGAGGGCCAGAGGTACCCCCAGAGTCCCAGGCCTGCCCTCTTTCCCACCCCTGGGCCGTGGGCTCCACTTACTGCTCATCGTAGGGAGAGTCTGAGACCTGCAGC